GGTGGCCAGAAAAAGGGAGGGTCGCTCACCCCCTAGAAGTGCCATCCCTCTTCCCGCCGGAGCCCTCCGCCTCTGTTTACACACGGAGGAGGTGTCGTCTCTAGTCTAGACAGGGGCGCTAATAACGCCCATAAAAGGCGGCCTCTCCAGAGAGGCTCTGGTAACTCAGCTCCTGATCGCCTGCTGCTGACTGCTCCCTCAGCCTCTGGCGCCCCGCCCCTCAGATACCTTGGCGGAGCCGGTGGGCAGCATTGGGGGGGATTTAGAAGGTTTCTAAAGGCTGATAACGCCTTCCCCTCGCCCTTCTGAGCCTCATCAGTCTCCAAAGGTAAGTGGACTCCTGCTCTCACCCCAGCCAGTATGTGGTGTGTGTGTGGGGGGGTGGTAACAACATTCTCTCACTCTTGAACAACCTTCTGGGTATACTGCTCCAACCTAAAACATACCCCTCTCTCAGGACTGGTCCACTGGATATTCGCAAACAGCTGAGTAGCTGTGTTGGGCAGAACCTAAGCATATCTCCAGTCCTCTCCAGGGCCGGGCCTAGCCAGTGGGCACTATCACTATCACGGACAAAGGGCCAGGCTGAGGAATGAGGGTACTGGGAGTAGTACTCCCACCCCCTCCCCAACCCAGCTTTGAGGTACAGGAAACCACGCCTGGGGCTCTCCCCTGGTTACAGTAGCAATGGGTGTGGCATTTATAGGCTTTTTTTAAACTTGGTCCCCACACCTTTCCTGACTCAGTAATTCACTAGTCAAGGAGATCCTCTGCTGGTGGAGGGGGAAAATGTCAGAGTTGACAGTCTATTTAACTGCTAGCACTACAGGAAAGACTCGGAGAAAATAAAGATGTCCCTCGTAGAGGTGCTCATGATGGGAGTCTTCCAAATGTTCGCTCCAAATGTCTTACGACCTCCCAGTTTTCTGAGTGGAGAGTGAGCTGGGGCATTTTGATGGGCAGGACCCAGAGGAGCCTGAGCCCGAAAACCTGCTTGAGTTTTGGGGTTTGTCCAAGCCTCCACTTCCAGGCTGCAGATCCCTAGAAAGCAACGCTGCTCAGGCGATCTCCCAATTTGATGCCTTGGTTTAGGGCACTTGCAGGAATGGTGGAGACCAGATGGACTCCATCCCCTAGAGGAACCAGTGAAGAGTCCAATTAGGAGAGAGAGAGAGAGAGAGAGAGAGAGAGAGAGAGAGAGAGAGAGAGAGAGAGAGAGAGAGAGGCCTCCCTCTATCCTATCTGTAGCCTTATCTAAGCCTGAACAGTCCCAAAGGGGTCAGGTGGGGAGCAGCAAATGAAGAGAGTCCCCCGCCCCCAGCCATCATTTTTCCTCTCCTTAGTAGAGCTCCAGCTTACCCCCCTACAGGGGCTGGTCCCTGCTTCATTTGCATATGCAGTGAGCCCCTTTCTGAAAACTGGGCAGTGACCTTGAACTGGGTCTCCATGGCCTCAGCTCACTAAAGAGAAAGCAAAAACGCACCAAATAATTTTCAGTTTAGGATTAGCAAAAGAGCCTAAATGAGGCTTCCATCAGAGCCGCTTTCCCTGGGCCACTAGAGCCTGCAGAGATTTTATAATTAACTTCTGTCTATCCAGCAGCAGTGGAGGCCAAAGATGCAGGAGGGATGGAGGCACGGAGAAGGTGTGGGGGGGTAAAGGGGCATCCTGCTGGTAAAGGATCCTGAAGGACGCTGGCTGCCTTTCTTGGTTCTTCAGGGGAAACCTTGAACTATATCCTTGCCTTCAGCTTTAATTAACCCCTGAGTTAATGAACAGGGCATGGCTGAGTCTGGCCAGCTGTGGCGTAAGCCAGTGGCCTAGCAGATAATGCCACCCCTTCAAGCCTCATGATTTGATGAATGTACAGGAGAGTTCCGGAGCATCAATTGTTCTGCTGTTGACCGATGGTGATGATTTTGTGTGTGGGCAGCGGAGTGCCGGTGGATTAAATCAAACTAAACGCAGCTCCCAAAAGCCTTGGACTGCCACAACCCTCCTGGTTCCGCATTTAGCCTCAGCCTGCTCTGGATGAGCTAGATTTAGAGTTGAAGCTTCGCACCCTAGCCTCCCGCCAGACCTGGGGATCCAGGTTGGAAGTGGTGTTTTTGTCAGAGCCCGGTTCAGAAACGGGGCGGCTAAGCAGGTTACCTAGTGGGACACAGAGCTTATCGTGATGCTTGTGATGCTCGGGGAAACTGGACGCTTGGGTTGCCAGGGTCCTCAGCGAAGCCCTGAAACCCCCTAAATTTACAGGGTCTTGGGGAGCAGGACTCTGGGAATAGGGATATTGCTGAGGACAGTGGTCAACTTCCCTTGACAAAATTTGGTATGTGTTGCTCAGAAGGAAGAGGGTTTTGTGCATGGACCTGTGCCAAGTCTGAAACCTAGAGAAAATGGTTTTGTCAGGGTCAAATCATGCAGGGAAAAACGCGTGTCCAAAGAAGGAACCCCCTCATCCCATTCTCATTTCCCCTGGCGTTGCATCTGCCACCCTGTGGCTGCCGCTTGAGAGCTCAGCAGTGGGACCCAGGAAGGCAGCGAGAAAAGCTACTGGTCTAAAATACATAGCTATGGGAAGATGGGAGAAGGACCTTCTTCCTGGGGTCCCTTTTTGTGGAGATTAGCATTGTCCAAAGGGAAACTAGAATGGGGAGAAGACTCCACCCAACAAAGGCTAGTGTCTATGGCAAAGTCAGCTCCCGCATCCCTCGCACCAACAATAGCGGCAGAGCGCCGAGGCCTGGAGAGCCTGGGCGGAGACCTCGCTGCCAAGCGCAGTGCTCTGATTGAAATCTGTAATATTGAGATCATATTCCTTTGATCTTTATACCAAAATGACCTCCAGATAATTTTTTGAACTCGACGTTCGTGTGCACTCAATTAATCTTGAAAACGGAGAAACAAATGAAATTCGAAGATGCTGTGACATGAGATCTGTGGCTGAGGGATGCTTTTCTCTGTAGCCTTACAGCCCCTTAATCAGTTACACACAAAAAAGACCATGGCAGGCTGGGTCTCCTTCTGGTTCTGACGAGAAGGTTGACTGTAGAGGCTGGCATCCCACAGCCTGGACCTCGGTGCTTCCAGCTTGTGGACCAGGAGCTGGGCGGGCTCCTGGGGACGGGTGGGGCCAAGCAGGCTGCCAGGAAGGCTCGGGCGGGGAAAGGAAAACCGGCCAAGCGGGGCGAGGGGCGGGCGCCAAGCTGCGGGCTGCTAGCAGCGCGGGGCAGGGCGGCGCCCGCGGGGACACATTTCTGTCGGTGTGAGCAGCTATGGTTTGGGATATGAAATCGCTTCGAGAACAGTGGAATTCGAAGAATCTGTGTTTCTTTCTGCCGTGTCCTGCACAGGAGAGAGGGGCGGGAGAGAGGAAAGAGAGATGAGAATCCTTGCGATTCGGTCTGCGTTTTGTAGCTTTGGCTAATTCCCAGATATTTATTATTTCACCTACATTCCTTCATATTCTCTCTCTCTCTCTCTCTCTCTCTCTCTCTCTCTCTCTCTCTCTCTCTCTCTCTCTCTCTCTCTCTCTCTCTCTGTCTCTCTCTCTCTCTCTCTCTCTCTCTCTGTCTGTCTATGTGTGTGTGTTTCCAATTCTCTGAAAAAATCATCATGATCTTTTTAACATGTATACGTTGTCAAACTATGTATTCAACCTTGAACAACCGATGCTCAAAATAATCAGAGATGGGAGTTTCTCTGCTATGACACTAATAAAATGCATCTGATTTGAACTGGGTTTTTTTTTTCTCTTCATGAGCTGTTCGGTGCCCCAGGTGAAATCCCAATGCGAACTTGCAGATATTCTTTATCGCTAACAGCCAGCACTAGCTTCTTGGCATTCTCTGAACCTTTTTTGCGCAGTGAATAAAATTTTGAATCCCCAACAGGATTCTTCTCCAAGATTTTCCCTCACTCTTGTCCCACCTCAGAATGCAACCCACTCCTGACCTCTGTGCTGCTCTGCAATGGTCCCAGGAGCCAGCCCTCAGGTTGTGGGGTGATCTTTGCTGTAGGAAGACCAGCCAGTTTCTGCTAAACCGCTGACAGCTTCCTGTCACAAAGACCAGGAGGCTCTTAGAAGATCCTCAGTCCCTAGAAGTCACACCCGAAAGGTAGTTCAAGCCACCACCCCCACCCCCAGATTTTCAAGAGCAAGCAAACGGGTCCATACCGAACCTTCAGCACCTTCGTTTGTTCTTAGTGCCTTCGCTTTCTTAGTCTTCAGGCGAGTGACTCCAGGCTAGGGTTAGGGTTACAGAAAACATAGCGTTACCAATTCACCCTAAACATTTCTTGTGTGAAAGAACCCCAAACAGCTCTTCGTATCCTAAGAAGAAAAAGGTGATGGGAGAGAACGCAGCAGTGGCGGCAGGGCCAAGAGATAGCAGCAAGGAAACCTGTTCTCACCCCCTCTTCGCCGCCTCTACTGTAAATAAACCCTGAGCCAAAGGGCTCATCCGTCTCCTTAAACAGCCAGTAAACTTTATATGACACAATATCTAATAGTAATTTATTGGGGAGATATTGTAAATTCCAACGGTTTTAGTTAATAAAGGAGCTAATTAAAGAGGGACGGGCTGTACTCGGCCAGCTGTTGGTGATAAGATAATACATCTGGGGGTGTGTGTGTGCATGGGTGCAGAGATGTGTACTTGCGGATATTTTTGGTGTCGCTTTTTTTTTTTTTTTTTTTTGGTTTCGCCCCGCGTCGGGCGATCGCTTCCCCGTCTGCTTTAAGGTTTTATATGATTTTTAAAAACCGGAATCCAACGAATAAATCTGCTCCTGCTTTCTCCCCCCACCCTCAGGATTGGGGAAGGGGGAAGTTGGAGTTGGTGCGGAGAATGTGGGTGGGGGGTTCGGTTGTCCCCACCCCTCCCCCCTGGCGGTAGCGCCCACGTGAGTAAGGCGGCCAATGGGTGGCTGGTGCAGGTTTAACTATGTTTAATGTCAGATAGCAATAAAGTAGAAGCTGCCGGTCGGGCCCCGCGGAAATGGGCGAGCATAATCTCCTGAATCCTGGGTTTGTGGGGCCGCTGGTGAACATCCACACGGGAGACACCTTTTACTTTCCCAACTTCCGCGCGTCAGGGGCGCAACTCCCGGGGCTGCCTTCGCTGTCCTACCCACGCCGCGACAACGTGTGCTCGCTGCCCTGGCCGTCGGCCGAGCCGTGCAATGGCTACCCTCAGCCCTATCTCGGCAGCCCGGTATCTCTCAACCCGCCTTTCGGCCGCACGTGCGAGCTGGCTCGCGTGGAGGATAGCAAGGGGTACTACCGTGAGCCGTGCGCCGAGGGCGGTGGGGGCCTAAAGCGGGAGGAGCGCGGGCGTGAACCCGGAGCAGGGCCCGGAGCAGCGCTGCTGCAGCTGGAGCCGTCGGGGCCGCCTGCGCTCGGCTTCAAGTACGACTACACGGCGGGCGGCGGCGGTGGTGACGGCGGCACGGGACCTCCCCACGACCCACCCTCGTGCCAGTCACTGGAATCCGACTCCAGTTCGTCCCTACTCAACGAGGGCAACAAGGGCGCCAGCGCGGGCGACCCTGGCCCTCTGGTGTCGCCGTTGAACCCAGGCGGCGGGCTTTCAGCCAGTGGTAAGGACCCCAGGCCACTTTTACGGCTTACTCTGACGGAACATATTGCCAGTGTGGGCAGGGGAGACCTGAGCTGGGGCTGCCTGGGGTGACAGAATGTGTAGTGAGCTAGTGCTTCTTTTAAAAAGAAGTGTGTTGGGGGGGGCCCTATAAACATGTAAATATCCCCATAAAAGAACTGGAGAGATTTCCTTTTTCCGCTCCTAGTGACTGTAGGGGGCAGGGAACTCCAAAGAACTGGGATCCTGGTCGGGACTTCCCCAAGCCTGGGGGTAAAGAGGTGCAAGAGATTCCATTCCTATTTTCCTGGGCGCCTTTCCTCCTGCTTTTCCAGAGGCCTCCACCACTCACATTTCTTATTTAAGAAACACAACCAGCACGATTTGCTCTTTACCGCTTGCCCACCTCTTTTCTAACTGGTGGGGATCTGGTAGTCCCTGGTGATGTAAGGAGATCAGGCAAGGAAATTTAAATAATAATAAGAACAATAATACTGGGAGAGGAAAATGGATTTTGGAAGCAGTATGGAGATAGAAATCTAGAAAAGCTGTGGATACTACTGTGTGAGGTAGGGTTGGGGCGTAGGGTGATGTGTGGGAAGTGATGAGGCGATGGACTGCTGAGGATGGTCTGGATAAATGCTTTCAGGATGCCTAGAAATGAGAAGGGAAAGCAATGTCCTAGTCAGGGTGTGGGCCCAAGGTGAAAGGGTCTGGGAGAGGGCCCGGGGCACTGAGCTAGCCCCCACTCCGATCCTCTAGCCAACCCTGCGGTTCATCTCCACCCAGGCGCGCCCTGGTACCCGATCCACAGCCGCTCGAGAAAGAAGCGTAAGCCGTATTCGAAGTTGCAGCTGGCAGAGCTGGAGGGCGAGTTTCTGGTCAACGAGTTCATCACACGCCAGCGTCGGAGGGAACTCTCGGACCGCTTGAATCTTAGTGACCAGCAGGTCAAGATTTGGTTCCAGAATCGGAGAATGAAAAAGAAAAGACTTCTGCTGAGGGAGCAAGCTCTCTCCTTCTTCTAGGAGGCTGGACACGCGTGCTAGCCCCAGACTGAGCTTGCCTTGGTGGAGCAAGAGGGGGTGCAGCCTGGGACACAGTCCCGCTTACAACGCTGCCTCTGGCAGGCTCTCCCTGGACGTCTCTTGTCTGTTTTGTTCGTGGTTCCCTCCCACACACATACACCCCCAACAGGCCCTGCGGGTCCCGGAGAGAAGGGAATAAACCTAGCCAGAGAAGGCAGAAATTCAGGAGAGGCAAGGGCAGTCTGGGACGCTGTGAAGGGATGGTTTATTTGAGGCAGGACTGGAGCTGCCGGGCCTCCCGCTGAGGTAGTGGGAAAGCAGCAGCCTACACACACACACACACACACACACACACACACACACACACACACACACACACAGAACCTTCCTCCACTTCCCTTTCTGGTCTTCAGTCTCTATACTTGGTAGAGCAGACAAGGTTGGTGATAGTGGAATCAAGGTGCCTAAACTCATGACTGATGGAGTTGTGGGATGAGAGGTGGGAGCTAGAACAGAGAGGATCCGTGTACAGTTAGAGAACTGTGGCGGGTTAGAGGAACCTAAGTACCAAGAAGGAAATGGGGTTTGAGAGAGTGGTCCGGGGTCTGCCCATGTCCGAGTCCTCCAGGCCTGAGCACTGGGTTGGCTGAAGTGCCTGCATTTGGCAGAGTACCCTGCAGGAACATAAATTAATCAGCCTAGAAAAGTCTCAAAGTCCTAAGCCGGTTTCTCTAAGTCCGACAGCGTGTCCCAGGCAAACAGCTCACAGGTATGCTAGCCACTCTTTGTGGCTGCAAACGGGGAACTGGGAACCAAACTCACACAGGTACAGGTTAAATAGTCACCCCCAGAGACTCCACCTGGCCCTCCGGGAAGCCCAAAGAGGTGATGGAAGGGGTTGAGGAGAGCGGCATTGATTGGCAGGGAGTGTTTCCGGCAACTACAGCAGCCGGCCGCGGATTCTCTCTTCCCGCTGGCGTTCATGGTCACGGCCGGCCGGAGGCTGGACCAGTGTAATTTACGAGGCGGGAGGCGAATCTGCCCTTAAAGGGGCTACGGGCAGCAGAGGCCCAAGCTCAACCCAATTCCCAGGCTGGCGACAATGAAGGAGGGGGCGCTACAGTTCCCCCACCCAACTCCTTTCTCTCTATTCCCTACCCGCCCCCCAACATCGCCCTTTGTCTCAGGATCCGCTGCCTCCGCCTCCCGGTCAGCTAGCCACAAAGTACAGGGCCAGAGCTGAAGAAGGAGGGGCGCATCTCTATACCCAACTGGAGGCCAGAGAGGAAGGCTTTTAATCCCGTAGATCCTTTCAGCCTCCAGCCCCAGACCCAAAGTTCCAAGAGGCTGGCCGGCCGACTGTGGAAAGAAACAGTCCGGATAACCCACCAGCCCTCCTGCACCCTATTTTTACTCTTCTCCACATGAGTCCACCAGCTTCCCATCTGCTGTCTCACTCCTGTGGAAACATGGGGCTGAGAAGCAGGAGATTGACAGAGCTAAGTGTAGCTTGGGCAGTGTGAAACTGCCCACTGAAGGGAGGGGAATCTTCCCACTTTCAGAGAGCAAGCCACAGAATATTGGGCTCCCCCAGTAGCACTCGGCTTTAAGTTTGTTTACAGGGTCGTTCAGAGACGCAAGTAAATGTATATACACACAGATGAGCCCACCAAACCATTGGGTCCAAACCCGCTCCCTACTACAATTGCAAGCAGGCAGCTTCTTGGTCTCCATTTGGCTCAATAGAGAGGAGATACAATCACATGCCTTGATCCTCCATTGGGCACCTGACACATCTTGCCATCCACTATACATGTTCACCTATGTTCAAGTTCCCAAGCTCCACTCCAACTGTGCACACTATCTCCTGTGAGCTGGCCATGGAAATGAAGTACTATTCTTCCCCCACCTGTATCAGCTTGAGCAGCTCTTCCAAGTGATTGATGGGCTCTAGAGTGTTGGATTCAAGCTCCATAACTCTGATTTGATTCCTAAAGCCTGATAGGAAAAAGACTAGGACTCTCCAAAGGGAAGGGGGCAAAGTTATGCAAGATTCTCTTTCTTTTGCTTTAAACTTGACTCCTATGAGCTTCTTTGTCAGTATCTGTCCTGTTGATTGTGTCTGTCTGTAGTATCTACTGTAGTTCCTGTGGTAGTCAGCATCCTCTACCTCCATTCCCAGATCTGTGTAGTGTACTCCCTGATTCAAGCATCTGTCTTTAGCACGTTTTCCCTTTATATAGTCCTTGTACAGAGCTGCTTCATCATGGTAATGTTAATAATTAAAACATGGATGTATGATGATGTGATGTTTTGAGAACCATTTCTAAAACTGGGTTCCCCACATAGAGTCTCTTCTTCCCAGAAAGAACAGGAGCCCTGAGCCCTTAGCTATTTATTTATTTTCTCCAGTTTAGAGGAATGACAAAAATAATGAATGTATAATAATAAAAGAGCAGTTGCATGGGTAACAAAAATATATGACCAACCAAGATCTGTTGATGAGCTGCCATATCTAATCCCAAGCAATTACTGGCAGAGAGAAAACTGGGGGGGGGGATAGATTGGAGAAGAAGAGGACGCTCTGAAGAGTCGTTGGGCTGTAAAAATTAATGTGGACAGCCTAGAGGAGGGAAACTAGCTTCAGAAAGTAGGTCTGTGTTGATCGGCAGAGGAGCTGAAAGACGCAGAGCCAGGATGGGAGGCAGTGGAAGTGTCCTGGGGGCTGGTGTGTTCTGATTGGTGGACCTAGAGCTGCAACTCTGTGGTTCGAATCTGGCAACTTCGCTCTGAGAAGATAGTTTGTGTGCTGTGAAATAACTAGGCAAGTGACAAAAGCCCCCTAGAGCTGGTGAAATAGTCCACATTTCTTGAAGCCAGCGGCAGGGCCTTTCCAGAGCCAGAGCTGGGGTGGGAGGCATTGTTCCCCTGAAGCAGCAGCACCTCCACCCAATTCTTCTTTCTCTAGGAAATGCCTTCCATCTGCCTGGACACTTGAACCTGCCTCTTGCTCTCCCCTCAATTATCCTTTCTAAACTGTCTGACTCCAGTCTTGGGAGTCTCCTCCAAATTCTTTCCAGAAATAGCAGGGTCCCCCAGGAGAGTCAACTGTGCCTCCAGCCCTGAAATCTCTCTCCTTCTCCTGACAATAGAGAGTAGTACACTAAAACCAAATCCCATTCTCCCTTTACTCTTAATTCCCAACTCCCTTGTAGAGCCTGGACACAGGCAGGAAGCCTTGGGGTGCTTATATAAAAATCCCCTCAGAGTGAAGGAGAACCAAGAGCTGGGGGGAGGGGCTGGGGGCTGCTTCTGGATCTGAATAAAGGGGAAAAGCCAATGAATCCAGGCAGGTGACTGTTCATTTCTTATGATGTATACATAGAAAGGGCCAATGGTGCAAGGATTTCTGGCCTAAAATGGGATGTAGGGGTGATAAGGAGACCATGAGTAGAAGTAACTGGTCTTGAATTTTATTCCTTTGACATATTCCCAGACACTTCCAATATTAAATAGAGGGCACCTTGTTGAATGGTGTCTATGAAGGCTCCCAGATTCAATAAACTGAAGAAGTTAATGAAGGAAAAACACTATAACAATCTTCTCAAACTAAGAAGCAATACTTCTGTCTCTGTCTAGGTGGGGATTGCATCAATGTTACAACTATTTGTCTAGTTAAAGCTCCAAAGTCTAATTTACTCCAATTTTAAGACAAAGTATCTTGTGCCTGTGACTGGGTCTTAGAAGAGCAAGAAAATAGAATTACTTGAATAATCTAGGTAGGAAAATAATTGCCATGTTGCGTGTATGTACCATCCCAAACGAGGTCTTTATTGAATTTGATCATCCACTAAGTTCTGCATGCTGATCTGTATTGCCGAAGCCATTATCCAGCACGTAGGAGATAATGGGGTTCACAGTCCGGTTCCGTGAATACTAATGTAGCCAGAAACCCAGCTCCTTGGATCCGTGGCTCAAACTCAGCGTTAAGCAGGGACTGCCGGCCCAGATCTGCAAACAAAGCAAACCCCTGAGACCTTGTTTTCCGGCCGGACCGAACCCCCCACCCTACACACACACACACACACACACACACACACACACACACACACCACCCGCCGGTCTGCCGGGCCGAGCCCCCCACCCTACACACACACACACACACACACACACACACACACACACACACACACACACACACACACACCACCCGAGCGCGCTTCCTTCGTGTGTAGGAAAACAGGGAAGGGGTTGTAAGGCACCAGTCGCTGGAAAAAACGCACCCTGGAGCCGCCGAACCTTTGCACAGAGGGCGCCTGGGGCGCGGAAGGTGGTGCCGAGCTAAAGGCAGGTCACTCGCCCGCGGGCCGCAGTCGCGCGCACGCCCCACCTCGATCTAAAGCGGACTCCTCTCTGTGGCAGCGGGTGTCTAGACAGTTGTTGATTTTCTGCTCTAAGGTCTATGGATGGAGCCCTTTCCCGTTAGATGGGAGCCTCTTGAGTGACCGGGCGCTGCTAGCCTGCTCCCGCGGTAGCCTTTGCTGAAAAGGCCGAGACAAAGGCGCGTCGCCGCCGATGGATGACGCGGGGCTACGAGACCCCTCCCTACGCAAGCATCCTCAGTGCTTCGGCCTGGGGGCAGGTGACGGGGAGAAGGCTTTGAGATCTCCTTCTAATCTTGTTCCTATTTCACTCTTGGAAGAAAGCTAGGGCGCCCAAAGCCCTGGCTGGTGTATGAAACTCCGCGCCCTCAGCTCTGGCGGCTTCCTAGGGCTGCCAGGCCCCCAGGAAGGACGGGATGACCCCTGCTGGCCAGAGCAGTGGAAACTGTCTCTCTGGGACCTGGTGCGGCCCAAATTCCATTCCCTGGAGTTTGCCGGGGACCTTGAAGAACAGCCTGTGTATGAGGTACTACCTGGGCTGCTGGAACTAAGGTTCTTAAGTTTTCTTAGTCAAGCTTGTCACTGTTGATTCTCCTAAGGCCTATGTCCCAAGCTGAA